CCCGCGTCGGGCCCTGTGAGGGACGTCGTCGGACCTCGGTGGCCAAGGTATTTATGCATTTCCTGAAATGTTCACAGGCCAAATAAGCTCACAGGGGCGTTTCCACACGACCTGAGAACCTTAACCAGGAACGCCTGAGGACAGTGCAGGACGTACTGTTGCGAGTAAGCAAAACACGCCTTTGTTCGCGAAATACCAGGCGCTACTTCTCGGTAGAGGAAGCGAGACTGGTTGCGAAACGGCGCGAACGGGGACCCCGAGTTAAGCCAGGGAGACACCGCGGAGCCGAGGGGCAGCGGGTGGACTGTACTGAGGGAGCAGGGGCTTCCCGCCTCCCACCCCCACGCAGACTTCCGGGGGCGTCAAAGACCTCAGTGAAACGCGGAACTTGAACTTTCCGGGAAGTGACACGGTAGAGCATCTTCATGACCAATGGGCAGGGTCACGTGGTACAAAAAGCACCAACCAGGAATGATTGACAAATTAGACTAAAATCGGAGGGAGAAAACCCAATCAGACCTTCAAAACACATCATAAAGAGAGGAAAACATAAACCACAGGGTGGGAGGAGCTACCTGGGGTGCAAATGAGCGACAAACGCCAGTGTCCGGCACCTCTGTGAACTAAGGAAAAGGGCAGACACCCCGATAGCAAAGCGGGTAGAGTCGTTGAACAGTTGCTTTTAGAATAGAGAAATCCACACGGCCGGCAGACATAGGAGGTGCTGGAGCTCGTTACTAGTCAGGAAGCGCATTAAAACCACAGCGATTGGCTTGAATTGCTTGGTTTTAAACTGCACCCACTAGCTCGGCAAAAATTCGAGGTTCCGACAGTTGTTGGCTAACAGGAATTCCCTCGTGGTGCTGGTGCGAGTATGAACCGCTGCGCCACCTTGGAAAAGCAGCCAAGGGTTTTTTAGCGACGTAGAAGACACGTATACTCGAGACCTAACCACCCCATTCCCTGGCGTGCACCCTAGAGACAGGCTTGCTCAGCTCTACCCAGAGACATTGCAAGAACGTCCATAGTATTTTTCATAAGAATGGAAAGCTAGGAACAAAGCAGATGTCCTTCAGCATTAGAGTAGTTCAGTGAATTGTGGGATCTGCACAGCAGCAGAGCCACCAGGTAGCACTGGAATACTACACAGCAACAAAAAAGAGCAGACTCCAACTCGTGGATCCACAACTGTGTGAAGCAACGTGAATGTCACATGCCTAGTGGTGGGCGGAAGAAGCCAGAAAGCCAAAAAAGAAAGAACATACACCATACGAATCTATTTTTATAACATTCAAAAGCAAGCAGTACCCTATTGTTCAGGACGCATTCCCAGGTGATGAAACTATAAAAAAAAAGCAATGAAGTAATTACCACAAAAGTCAGGATGGTAATTACCTCTGAGAAGGAGAGGGGATTGTCAGCAGGGAAGAGTCGAGGCGGTGCTTCTGGAGTGCTGGCAACATTCTTTTTTTCTTTTTTTTTTGACAGAGGTCTTGATGACACAGTTGTTTGATTTTAAATTCTTTGAACAGTACGTTTATGTTTTATGCATTCTTCTGCAAAATGCTGTATCTATTTTTAAAAAAATACCACAGCAAGGAAAAAATGAATGCCTATACGTCGATAAGGAAAAGATAAACAATCCAGTAAAAAAAATGGACAAAAAGCATGAGAGGCCTTTCAAAGACAAGAAAACACAAATGACATGTAAACATATGAAAAGATGCCAAACCCAATGAATAATCAGAGAAATGCACATTTAAATCACAATGAGATCACATTTCACTACTATATTGTCCAAAATGTAAAAGTCTGACAAGTACTGGCAAGGAGATGGAGTAAAGGGAATTTTTATAGGCTATCCTCATCCACTTTGGAAAAGCTGGTACTACCTAGAAAGTTCGGATATGTGTACATGTTAAGACTCAGCCCTTCCACTCCTGTCGTGTATCCCAGAGAAACTGTTACACTTGAGCCTCTGGCGGCATGTTGAATAATGTTCAGCTAGAGACACATGACTGCCTACCAAGGCTGTATCCACAGAATGGAATACCATAAACTTTAAAGCACGTGAATGAATCGGTATGCCTTTCGAAAAGGTAGAATTAAAAAAGCAAGTCAGAAAATATACAGCAGGATTCAATTTATGCAGAATTCAAAAATAGCAACTCGTCCCCCACCCCCCGCCACCACCACCACCAAATACTGTTTAGGGAAACAAACACCAAGTGGTAAAACTATAAAGAGAAGCAAGGGGCTGATTAACACTAAATTCAGCTTCGTATTACCTCTGGGAGTAAGCTAGGGCGATGCAATTTATGCAGGGCATTCAGAGAGCCTCTGAGGCCAGAGCAGCTGCTCTTTCTTACCAGGAGGGGTATGGTTTTCCGTTCTTCACATTGTAGCCGTACATTTTAGATACTCTGTGTGTATGATTTAGATCACTGTGAAAAAAAAAAAATTTAACTCAGCTTAGGGCTGGGACCTTGCAATAGTCAATTTTAAAAAAAGGTGATATTTCAATTTGTTCCCCAGTTCTATGATTCTAATGTGAAATCTTTTTCAAAACCTCCATAGTATAAAAATATAAATATGCCAAACCCCATGAATAAGCAGAGAAATGCACATTTAAATCAGCCCCTTGCTTCTCCTGTACAGCACATTTTAAGCCAGTGGACCAGAATGAGGGGTCGCATTTGCTTGTCACAGAGTTGAAATATCTCACTTTACCCCCACTTTACGCATCTGAATGATTAGATCGAAAATGGTTTTAAACAGATATCGTCTTCCATGAGAGCCTGCTGGGTGCCAAGAACATATTCACCAGAAACAGGTTGTAGAGGGCAGCTAAAGTGCCTGGCCCGTGGTCAGGACGCTTAGGCCTTGAACTTAAACTTCAGCTCAGTCATACCAGCTGGCCGGTTAACCTTGAATCACGTAACTACTCAGAGTCACAAATTCTTGAACCCTAACTTTTAACCATACCAAATAGCCTGTTATGAGGGGCGAATGCATCTAAAGGAGTTGGCTCAGCGTTTGCTGTACATTAAGCACTCAACGAATGTGAGCCGGTAAAATCACCAATGTCATCTGGATTCTCTCCCCTTTTGCAGTGAGGCGAGGGAGCGAATTAAGAGACTAATTGCCCATGGATAGCCGATTCCATGAAAATTTTACGAAAAAAACTAGCATTGCTGTCATAATTACTTAATTATAAATCTATCCCAGTTTTCATACACGCTCAAATAGGGATGTACTTATATTCTATCACTACTAAATACTGACAACATGTTTATTCAATTGAAAAAAAAGCACCTATGGGAATTAATTTGGTTAGGTATTTAACTATTAAATCTGTCTGGGGTCCTGTGTTGGGAGACTCGTGGTGGCTCTTCTGGCCCTGATTCTAAGGTTGCAAGGGAAAGAAGGTGTCAATAATTTATCGGTCTCTGGGATCAGGAAATGTGTGTGAATAGATGCCCTTTGGAGCTGACGTCTACCACGGCGGGATGGCCTTTAATCCCGCTTGGTAAATGGCTGGCACTGAGCCGTGTATTAAACGAGCGATAGCATTTTAAAGTGCTTAGGAACTGTCTCAGCGTCATATGCTCCCCTTTTAGATTTGCATGGTAATAATAATAATAGTTAATATTTATTGATCGCTGTTTCGGTTATCTTTTTATTGCTGTACAGCAACCACCTGAATACAGAAACTGTTTCATTTGGGCTGGTCCACCGGCTTCCTCCTGCAGCCATAGTTATCTGACATCTCTACTGGGTGTCAGGGCTTGGATGGTCTCAGATACCGTCGCGTCCCTGTCTAGTGATGGTGGTGGCTGTGGGCAGGGCCACGTGTCTGTAGCAGCTAATCCAGGCTTCTCCACATTGTGGTCTCAGAGTTCCAGCAGAGTGAGAGCAGGTGCTGCAAGGCATCTTGAGGACTTGGCTCGTTCGCTGCTCAGCTTCACCTTTGCCATGTGATTTAGTCAGAGCAAGTCAGCAGGCCGCGCCCAGCACGCAGGGGGAGAGAAACTGACTTCAGCACCTGGTGGGAGGCACAGCTAAGGCACGCTGCGAAGGGCACGCACACGGCGGTGGGGCGGGGCGGGGGCCATTTTTTTACAGTCGACATGCTAGGCACTTTGACACCTGTTTTGCATACGTTGTCTCTTTTAATTTTCACAACTATCCTATAAGATGTGTATATTTAACCCGTTTCATGGATGAGAAAATGGAAAAGAGACGTAGGGTTACTCGACCTCCCTGACGAGTGAAGGGCATTTTAAGAGTTCTGAATGGGTAAAGCTATGCTGATCGTGCAACGTTAAGTTTAAAGAAGGATAAAATATTACAAATAAAGTATTTCAGTTATGTTTCAAAAATATGTACACGCATACACACAAACATTCTGGAAGGAAATATTCAAATATGTTAATAGATACTTCTGAGTTGGAAGATAATGGATAATTGTGATTTCCATCTTTTTTGTATTTTTTGCATTTTTCATAATGAGTACATACTTTTAGAAATTAAAAAGTAGATCTCTACTAAAATTCACACAAAAATAAATAGATGCTCTAAATAGGCCTATGTATATTAAAGGAATTGAATCAATAATTAACCTTCCAAAACAGAAAATACCAGCCCCACATGGGTTCACTGCCAAATTCTACCAAACATTTAAGGAAGAAATTTTACTAATTCTCTACAGTTTCTTCGAGAATATAGAAGCAGAGAAAATACTTCTTAACTCATTTTGAGGCCAGGATTGCCCTAATACCCAAACCAGACAAAGATATTACAAGAAAGGAAAACTACAGACCAAGATTTCTCACAAATGTAGATGTAAAAAGCATCAACAAATATTAGCAAATCATATCCAAGGATGCATAAAAGCTTTTACTCTGTGCCCAAGTGGGATTTATCCCAGGTAGGCAAGGCCATTTCAACAGTCAGAAATTAATTACATCACATCAACAGGCTAAGGAAGAAAAATCACATGACCATATCAGTATATGCAGTAAAAGCATTTGCCAGAATCCAATAC